TTAACGCTCTAACAAAAATTGAAAGATGTCCAGAATTTTCAAAAAAGTCTTCTTGCGTATCTTTGTCAGCAATATCTAACAAACTTTTGCGTGCTTAGCTCCGGACCCAGGGCCCGGCACAGATCGTCTGGAAGCAAACTGGACTTCGTTTTTGGGGGCAGAAAGCAAAGGGGATATCGTTCATGCGGAGTTCGGGGCCGAGCAGCAAGGATGAGTGCCATTTAGTCAAACGCAACAGGTTATCAGACGACTGACATGCTCTATCATGTCGGCGAAAAATGCGCGGTATTTAAAAGCAAAGCTTAAATAAACAAATTGCTTTTTTACAGCGCACATAGATTTAAATGACACCAAAATTGAATCCTATACATAGAAAATTATTTGCGGAAGAATTACGTAAAAATCCTTGACAACTTTATGTGAAGTAATACCTTTTCCAAAATTAATCCATCTCCAGACGGCCACCAGACGATTTGAGATCGTCTGAAGCATATATTTCCGTCACTTCACATAAGTTCCGGATCTTTTTAGCATGGACGGATGCCCCGGTCAAGAGTTTATCCCTGAGCATAGAGACTTTCATATCGCCTTTTGTCCGCCATTTTTATCCCATTTCTTTCGAAAAGCGCCTTATTAGATATCGTGCCCCATCGTCAATTCTTCTGCGCCATCTCCCTTTGACTATTGTTTTCAGTTCTAGCTTTTTTTCAATATTTTAATGATCTCTTTCATTCTTCTTTCCACCTCCTTTCTTCTGCTCATGATCTATTTAACCTGTTCTGTGACCATGTACCATGACCACCTTTATGAAGCAAAATTCTGTGAATTTTGTGATTTATCTTTGAGAGTTTGACTTGAAATTGCGAGAATTTCAGCTCGCAGCAGGTAGATGGTCTTACTCAGGACTAAGGGCCGCATGCACTAATCTCCCCGCGGGGAGGGGATCACAGCTTAAAAGAAAGTTTTATATTTCGAAACTCCAGATACCTAGATTTCACGTTGTGTACCTATCCGTAAGTATTCCTACTACCCTTCTCTATGAACATGTTGAAAAGGAGCGAGAAGCTGTACAAACCGCATTTTCCAGCTTTTGTATGATCCCTGATGATCCGCGGCGCTTTTCTTTAAAGGCATTTTTCTTTCTCCGAAGTTAACGAATAACCTCCAAAGTTGTGCGAATTATCCAACTCGACAGTGCTAAGCATGTTGCTGATAAGAACAAATGATTTTTGAAGTCATGAAATTTTCGATGATCCACAGGTCGAAATTTGAGGTTTACCAAAAAATTCGACTTTTCATAAACTCATTTGTTCTCATCAGCAACATGCTCAGCACTGTCGAGTTAGATAATCTGCACAACTTTGGAGGTTATTCGTTAACTTCGGAGAAAGAAAAATGCCTTTAAAAAAAGCGCCGGGGATCATCAGGGATCATACAAAAGCTGGAAAATGCAGTTCGTACAGCTTCTCGCTCCTTTTCAACATGTTCATAGTGAAAGGTAGTAGGAATACTCACGGATAGTACACAACGTGAAATCCAGGTTTCTGGAGTTTTGAAATATAAAGCTTTCTTTTAAGCTGCGATCCCCTCCCCGCGGGGAGGTTAGTGCATGCGGCCCTAAGTGAGTATACGGGGATCCACCAACAAATGGAGGGTGGGGGAGGGGTAACAAGAGTCAAAGGGGACTTAGTAAAATTTTCGAATGTCAGGGGACTTTGTTTTCACAAAGCCTAAACGAACTCGTGCCGGGCCCTGCCCTGACCCCAAAGTACGACTTCCCCTTTATTTTTTTGAGCCGGAAACGATATCCAGTCTGTGAAAATGCCGCCTATCCCGGTCCCTGACCCAGTCAATGGTATCTTGCAAAACACAATATTATTATGTTCCATACTTTCGATAAGTATTACTGTAAGCAGTATTCGATTTTGCTAATCCCGTGAGATGTGTAAGAACTGGTACTGATCAATTTAATTTTCTTAGAAGTTGAAGTGCTAAGATGGCATCTACTCAGCTATGACGGCAATTACAGGTGCAGTGTCACTTTAGACACCAATAGCTTTCTGATTCAATTCCATCATTTGTCAGTTCCATTCTATCCCGCCGTTCTTAACACCAAGGCGCTGCCCAAATTTCAGAGCAATTTTTTGCTCTCTTGTTTTCTTGCTCGAAAAGATCTGCAACTCAAGAAGCATTCGGACGCAATAAGCTTACTTGAAAGCTTTGATTAACGTAGGCGATTGTCCCATATTGTATGCTCAGCTCATTAAGGTGAACCTTTCTATTACAGCATGTCTTTGGTACTCCGAGTTCAGCATTTTTGAACCTTTCTGTGAACGTCTCTTCGCAAAGGATTGTTATTGAGGAAATCAGTTAAAAAGAACGGGGAAAACCCACCCGTAAATTTGCGTTGAATCTGATTCGTACTGAAGACTCAAAAAATGGCGAAAAGTTCATTTATACCTCCGTTACACTCTGGTATAAATACCATTTTGAACAATTGATTGTATGACACAGGGGCTGTGACGCAGGTTGATTTGGCACGACCGGAGCGGGTATACATTCGTGAATGCGTTACGAGGAAAGATTTACGATGATACATGAAGCACCAATTAAAGACGGACGATTGTCCTGCACTAATACAAGCACCATTCAACGAAGATTCTGACATCTCAAGCATACCACAAAGCAATGTCACTTTAGAGGCTTCTATATGAGAGACTCATTAGCTAGCCCACCATGGGGCATCAAAGATATATCCGCGGATGCATGATTACTTTGAAAAACAACGAGACAAGTTTCGTTGCGATATGAGAGCTAAGCGACATGAATATCTATCAAATGCAGACCATGAGGAAAGATATAACCTGAACTGAGGGCAACAGGAACGTATGTTATCTTGAATGAAGTTCATTTACAAGAAATTGGGAGGAGCGTTCAAGGTGACAGCAAAAACAACGAATGACTGTTTCGGTAGTAAGGCTCCTCGAAGCCATTCGGTCTAGGCCCGTATCTGCAGCCATTTACGACATCGTAACTGAATCCTAAGCAGAGGAACAGAAAAGCGCCTATAAATCAACAATTGAATTAGCGTATATAATTTGGGCAACAAGCTGAGCAACTGGGGTCTAATAGTGAAGAAAAACTGAGAACTGGTGAGATTATATCCAAGATGGACCTGCTACATACCTAGTCTAAATGAACTTACCAAGATGAGATATAGAGGCGCTTACCAAACTAGCCGTGCGCCCCAGATGTGGAACGCCTTGCGACCAGCTAAACTCGAGAAGAAATAAGCTACTCTAGTTGACAAGAATTGTCATGAAGTTGAAAAGACGAAAAAGGACTGTGGCATCCGAACACCGCCGTGCTCCTCCTAAGCACTTCATCATGGTGAGTGAAAGGAACATGTAAATGCCGGGAGGAACTTTTAGAAAGTTGAGTGGAAAACACAGCTCAAACCTAATTCTGCAGTAACGATGAACTAGTCAAGTAGCCCTCCGAATTCAGCAATGGTCATAAAGTTGTAAATCGCTCTGCGTAATGAGAGGGAACCTTTCTTATTCATCTTACTGATCTGATTACAACGAGATTGACGAGGATATCGCGATACAACAGAGAGCCCAAATATTGCTCTCCTCATGACACCATGAAAAGCCCGGATCGGCTAAATAGTACTTTTATCCTACAAGGCTGAAGAGAAACGGTGTCATGTCGTACATCATAGAAAGTTCCCGCTAAAGGATTGAGTCCGAGTGAGCTTTCTAGACTCAGAAAATCCCGAGTCGATAGCTAATAAATTAGACAAGAGAATGGTGCTGCACTGCACAAGTTTGGGGAGGTTTTCATTTTCCCGTCCAGAAACATCAGCCAACAAACTATCAAGAGAAAACACTTGAAAATTACACGCTCGTAAAGCACTGGGGCGATATCATAGGCTATGTTGCAGCATTCAGATGTTAAGTTCAATGTAGATATGTAGACCCTATTGGCGTATTTCATCCAAGTGAGTGTCACCCGTGTTCCAGGGTGGGCGGGCGGGCCGCTCCATACGCGTCAAAAGCCTGGATGACCAGTCGTCCCTTGTTTTGCTCAAGACGAGTTGGCTCCGCCCCCCTTGGCCAGAAGCCAACCGACTTGAGAGTCGGTTACGAAACATCATTGTTCAAAATAACACATCTTTGTTCAAAAAAACCCTACGAATCTCCAACTTGCTCATAAAGACTGCACACTCCATCAGACACTCTATGTACCGTTCTTGAATGTTTTTCTTATTTAGAAATCGAAAAAAAAGAAAATTTTCATGTTCATACAAAAACGGAGCGATGCCGTTCGCAATCATGTGATTGTATAGTACAGCCCTAATGAGTATAACCTCTTCGCTTTTTAGAAGCCCTAGTTTAAAATAATGATATTGAAATATTGAAAATAATGAAATATTGATTTTAACATGGAAAGAGTGAGGGGAGCTAAATTCGGCAATTTTCGAAATTAGAACCTGTGGAAAACTGAAAATCCGCGGTTATATTTCTAACTAAGGGCTTGCCGTATTCAATTGCGTAGGTGAAAACAGTTTACTGTCTAATTTCTATGAGTAAGTTGTACTTTCGTGGAATTTCTGAACAAAGACATGAGTTCTTTGCGATTTTTGAGCCTTTAGTACGACTCAGATTTTGAATGCAAACTTACGGTGGACCGAAGTTGGAGCAAACTTTTGCACACCATCTTGTAGAGTTTGCTTTGCTCTGTCGAATGCTGTCCTGGACTCCCATTTTTAAAATTTGAACTTATATTAGGTTTTGCATAAGTTCTGTCCGATTTTTTTTGCCTCATGTTCAGGGTAAAGCGGGGGGTGTGGCACACGACCGTCGGATACGACCCCCCCCCCTTGGGCCGGACCTCGGCACGACCCCCCCCCCCCCCTCCCTCCACCCCATAAGCAACGCCGAAAGCATCTAGTCGAGCCTTCTGGTGAAATTTTCAGGGAACACGCCTCGAGTGCGTCAGCTTTTTCGCTGAGCTGCCAACTCATCAACTTGATCTTCACGTTCCGACTCCAGAACCTATAAAACAAAATTATGACGTAGTGTCTCATATTAAGCAACAAAAACATTGAAAAAATTCTGCGATAACCTAGATATTGGAAATCACGGAACTATTGGCTTCTAACCGCTTTACTAACACAAGACGCTGCGCCGGTAACTGAAGAAAAGTCACTTAGATATTTTTATACCTTCAGATCGTCTCCCAGACCAAAAGACAACTCATCAGTGTCTATCGCTTTGTACTCGTGAGTTGTCCTCACAAGGTAAAGCACCTATCAGCGAGAAATGAACGGTTAAAAAGCATAGAATGAGCTGACAAACCTATGCTAACCTTACGAGCTTCCCTAGTAACTACCTTTGAAGCATGGTCTGTTGGAGGTGCCTCAATGGGTACTTGTTCGTGTTGTTCTCCATCTGTATCCCCCTCGAATGAGTTTGTCGGATCCTTGACCTTTTTCGGAGTTTCGTTTGTATTCTTCTCCTCTTCCTTATCGGCGCGAGGAAGCACTGCCGCTAACTTTTAAAAAGCGGATACTCTCACATAACTGTCAATTACAATGTAGAAACAATTTTGACAAACATAGGCAATGTAAAAAAGCACGGGACTGAACTCGCTTAATGGGAGGGATTTATTCCTACTGGAAAAGAAGTCTATGTGAGAAATATCAACTTATCAAGATACATTTAATCCCTTGTCTGACTCTGATGAAGATAGTCCTTATAAAAATCCGAAGTAAGAGAAACCCCCTCATCTGATCCGAACGTATGCTCTGGGCTTGTGTAAATTCTTGGAGGGAAGAGTTTGAAGACATTATGGTTCTTTACGGTTCATCTTTTATCTTTTGTGATTTTATATGGTTTATCTCTTATCGAATATCCAATATTAGAAAATTCCACCCCGTTTGTTGAACTATCTTTATTACTGGAAAAGGAGTAGCCTAACTCTTTACCACATATAAAACGGGGTGGAATTTTGTAATATTAGATATTTGATAAAAGATAAACCATATAAAATCACAAAAGATAAAAGATGAACCGTAAAGAACCATAATGTCTTCAAATTAAGATAAACCAACATACCGGATAGATCTTATTCTCGAAAACTTCCTCCACATTATCTTCTTCAAATGGATTGCCACCAGAAGACGCATTTGGTTGGTTTGCAGCGGAATCTGCCAAAGAAGCTGGCGTTGCCGGAGGAGGAGCGGGGACAGGAGAGGGCGTGGAACGGTGCGAACTTATCTGCAGCAAACAGATAAGCCATTCAACAATACATAAAGAGTTGCGATACCAACACCAAGAACACCTTTGAAGGCCTTACGTCTGCGACGCTATCAGTCGGCGTATCTGGACGAGGTTCTGGTCGCGGAACTCGCGATGTGTTGATAGATTCTCCAAGACTATCAAGTGAAACGATTTGTATGTTCAACTGCAATCAAGTAACTCATTCATGAACTGCAGAGACGTGGTCTACTCACCTTGCTGCATTCTGATTGATAAATATTATGAGTGTTGAAAAGTGACTGGAGGGTGTTCACACAGAAAGTATCGATTATCGTATGCAGCAGGCAATGACTGAAAGTAATTTATCGAATTTCTAAAATGAAAGGCAATAAAAGGTGGAGAATTTCCTGACCTCAAGAAGTTCGTTGTTGATTTCTTTAGACAAAGCTTCTGTCTGTCGAAGTTCTGAAAAAGCCTTTGCTGCCACTTTTGGATCACCCTGAAATGAAAGCTATACGACCTGCACCCTTTCACAAACAAGTAGTAGACACCTTTTTGAGGAGTGTGAGGAATATCATGTGTTGGCATGCTCAGGAATGAACGAGATAGTTGAAACTCTAGAAACAAAAACCATGGTACCAATGGTACCAATCAACAAACAACAGAAGGAAGTTCAACACTTAGCATGGATATTCTAGAGCGCCGATAACAACTCGCGCAAAACACTATTTACCAACCTTCTTTTTGAGCTCGCTTAACTGAACTGAACTTGTCAAATTTTTGACAAACAAGGTTGCATCAAGGTTCGTGCATTTCCCATTGCATGATCGCCACCAAAAGAAGCGCCCAGGAATGTTACAACAAGCGTATGTTCTTCGAGGACACTCGAGCAGATAAATCTTGGCAGGATTAGAGTTGCAACTTCTCTCAACTTTTTTACTCGTCTCCCTTTTTTCAAACATATCAAACTACAACTATTTTTCTTGTAGTTTGATATGTTTGAAAAAAGGGAGACGAGTAAAAAAGTTGAGAGAAGTTGCAACTCTAATCCTGCCAAGATTTATCTGCTCGAGTGTGGATTACCACTTTCACGAACTCGAGAAATGCAATTGCTAAATGATTTACCGTTTTAACCTGAGGAAAATCTTGAATACGGTCCAGTCAAGATAAGAACAAAGATAATTTGAGATAAATGAAGGCGATAGGTAACAAAAATATGTAAAACGTATGCATGGATCGTGCTTATGCGGAAAAAACTTGCTGAACAAAAAAGTAAACTGGAAAAAAGCTATGTAGTACCTTTTGCTCCTCCACTCTCACGAGTTCATTGAGGTATTGACATGTTCTGCGCCAGCGGAAAAAGAGATTGTATTCATACTTGTACGTCTTTCCACACAATGGACATAGATAAGCTCCAGACACCTGTAAGGAATGGCTACACGTAACCCTTTAGAATCAAAACAAAGAAAATCACACTTGATGAACGGGCAGATGTCGCTCCAGTCGAGCTGAGTTGACAAACGACTGCTTACATTCCGGACAAGCGAGAGAGAAAAGCGAGAAAAAAGATGAGATTTTAGCTCGCAGATTTCAAAGACTCGCATCTCGCGGCTTTGTGTTTTGACAATTTTCGAGCACTACCGTAACCCAATATTTTTTGACCACACTTCCCAGCATATGGTTCGCAAAAACCATATGTATCTCCTTCTAAAGAAAAAGGTTCGAGGGGAAACAGCTACTACGGAGAGAGGAAGGATGGATCTATAGGTTGACATCAAAAAGGCAGCTGTTTGAACGTTTTGAAGGTAAGTTAATGGGGTGCGGCACCTCCCCCCTTAAAAGCTGCGGCAGCCGCAGCTTTTGAGGGGGGGGGGGGGTGCCGCACCCCATTAATTATATCAAAAAGACATTTTTAGTAAACAATATTTATACGAATCGATAGCTAAACCTTGTAGATTCCATAGGACTGTTTTGAGCCTGATTCGTCTTCTTAGCTCTGAGCAATATTTGGTGAAAGCACAGCGAACAAAAGCGAAAAATGGGAAAAACTAGATTTTGGTTGGCTTCTAATTCCATAGTTTGGAGGTCTTCTGAAGCGAGATTCCTGAAGTGGACAAAGAAGGAGTAGTGCTTTGTCTTGAGTGCAAAAACATATAGCTATTTCACCTTTGGAACAAAGTTAACCATGTTGGAATTTAAGCATTTCACTTAGGTAGCCTAGTATCTTCAATCTTCAGAATTCGCTCACACTTGGTCTACAGGGGCTAATTACATGCTAATTATAATGGACACCAGTGCGTCACCTCTGCTTCGCAGAGGTTCGCACTGGCTCTACTATCTATGTGCCTTACTCATTCTCGTAAAATCGTGGCACTGGAACTCACCGCGCTATGCCGACTACCACGAATAAAATGTAAACAACCACTCATTTAGAAAGTCTTTTCACATGAGATCGGTGATTTCGCGTGGATGAAACTTTTCGCAAGAAGACAGACGCAAATTTGAATAGGTTTTGGATTTGTCATGACTTGGTAGTCGCCATAAAGGTAATGATAACCGTGAGCTACATCTCTGTGCGAAAATCTTCTCAAACGCTTAGCTAGAACCTTGGAAAATTGACCATTTACACAACCAATTCGTTTTGGCGCCGTATTCTTACGTAGTAAACTTTCGACCACTTTCCTGGCTAAACTCCATCGCTTGCGCATTTGCTTACCAAACTCATCCACGACTCTGCAAAAAGTGGTGATACGGACCGAATTTTGCGGTACAGAAGCCAGGTGGACCCGTTTGGCGCGCAATTTCTGAGGGATCCACTCAACGAATCTACTCATGCTTTTGCATGTTGGACTTTCACGAAGGTAGCATGCGCTATACAAAATTTGGGCTTAGAACGCTGGCTGGAACACGCTCCACGAATTTCGTAACAGACACACAAACACACACACAAAGTCACGTAAACATCCTTAGCCCGTTATCATAAGTCATGATCAGGGTTGAGCGAAAGGTCAGGCACAAGTCCTTCAAAAACGACCCCCCCCCCCCTGTGAAAGCCCCTAAACGACCCCTTACCTTCACTCCAGGTCCTCAGGGTGTTATTTTTTGAAGAAGACTAGCTTTCACTGTAGGATTCGGAGGGCAAGCGTTAGGCGACAAAATGTGCAAAACGCCATCAACGTAAAACCCGTAAGTCAAAACCATGTGCAATTTTTTTGATGGCGTCGAGTAATGTATCGGCCTCGACCCCCACCCCCCTGTTTTTGGCGGAGGAAACGTTTTGCACGGGGAGTTATTTGGGGTCCAAAAAATCGGGTTTGTCGCCTAACGCCCTACACCCGTAGGATTCCATTTTTTAGAAGTCTTTAAGCTTCACTTTCTGCGATTGCACAACCACACGCAACTTGACGGCAAGTTTCTGATCTGGATAGCCCTCTTTTCAAAGCTATAATTTTCAGACGGGGGAGTGTTTGGCTTCAAATTTTCAATATAGCAAGAAGGGGCTTTGCTCTCAATATTCATACTCAAAAACGGGCGATTTTGAAATACTGAAGACAAGTTAATGGGGTCAGGCGCAACCCCTCTAAAGCTCTGGCTGCCTGACCTTTTGAGGGGTTGCGCCTGACCCCATTAACTTTATTTCCGAAGATGCTTTTCTACCCACGTTTTAGGTGATTCGAGAGCTCAACCCTTGAAGATTCCACAGTTAGTGTTTGAGTTTGATTCGACTCGTTTCTGTCTTGTTCTAATCCGAGGAGTTGAAGCACTCAAGTGAAAAACGCGCCGGTTGGAGTTTTGGCAGCACTTCTTACTTCACTATTTCAAAGCGATATGAAGCCTGATTTGTAGCAAAGACTTATAGAAAACATTACTTTGTTATGAGTATAGAAAAGCTGACTTTTTTCACTTTTGAAACTAAGTTAATCATGTTTGAAAATCACGCTTTTTAGACGTTGAGAAACACTAGAAACTTCAATAGGCAATGGTTTTTAGAGCTCGTAGGGGTAATTTGACTTGCAATTTACGGAAATGATACCCGTTTTATACAGTAAACTTCCTTGGTGTTCTTATGAGATGTCAAAGTAAGGGATAAGGACTTGAATTTTGGCTAAAACTACGATTGTGGAAACAAGCAAATGCTGTATACGACCGTCGTTCCTTCAGATGATTGCAATATCCCCCGGACTAACGCATTTCTTCTTCATCTTCGTGGTATCTCACAACTGAACAAATTCGCTTCTTAATTACTACCCCCCCCCCCTCAGTCTTACCTTCAATACGACCCCCAGGTCGGGCGCGCCTGACCCCACGCTCAACCCTGGTCATGATGATACGAGTATCATGTTATCGCTGTTATTAGAACACCCAACTACGACCCCCTCCCCTTTTGACTCCTCAATACGACCCCCCTGGTGCGGCGTGCCGCACCCCCCGCTTTACCCTGCTCATGTTTGAAGCAGCTGTTCTAAGAGAATTTCATCTCTAATGCGGCATTGTTAGTATCATTAGATAGTGCTTTTCTTGCGCTTTCTAATGCATGTCAAATTTCAATGAATTTCTTAGTGTAAGAAGATTTCAGGCCTAAAATCTCCAAGTGGCCGAGGTACCTCTGACCCTAGAAATATGTTCTTGCGAGAAAATCTCCACAATGCGCCCTTCAGGCCAAGTTTTTCAATCGGAATAAGGGTGTAATAGGCTAGCATACGCATAAGTTCATTTTCATGAAGAAAACGTCTTGCTAGTAAAATTTATTGTCAAACATTAATTTTCTGTATAGATGTTTACATGCTATAACTTTCTGCGAATAGAAGTAATCGACGACTTCAAAGTTGGAGGTGCTAGGGTAAAGAAAGAGCTAGTACGGCCCATCAACCAATTCCTTTTCGGCGCTCACGTCAACTGTAAAATTTTCATCTTATATATAAAGCTGAATGTCTGTCTGTCTGTCTGTACGTATGTGCGGAATAGGAATTTTTATTTCTGAGCCGATTTGGACCAAACTTGGCACACGTACACTTCGGGGCAGGGAGCGTGTCATAGGGTACTTTTCGTCATCGATCGATATCGATTTTATCGATTTTTTGCAAAATTTGAGCTATAGGGCTGGGAGTTGGCACAGTGGGGTAATCGAGCATGCTGATTACAAATATGTTATTGACAGGGCCGGGCGGAGCCGGGTTTGCCAACTAGTAACTCATAAATATTCATGCACACATGCGCTGAAGCGAGGTCAAAAAGTGGCTAGTTTTTTGTTCGGTCAAAAATACTCTCGGCAACGCAGACCCTATGGGCTCTTTCAGTTGCATAATAATCTACGATGATTTCTCCATCTGTCCAATGTTAGATAAGGTGCCTACCAAATCTCATAAGGGAGCATTGCCATGACAAATAAGACAAGTTTGAAGGAAAACGTAGTGAAGTTTTTAAGTTTTTGCTTCTTCCTTAACAAGGATTTTCGCAGGTTCTATTATGTATCTGATAGCCAAGGAATTGCTCAACACAAGGAAACTAAGATCTTGGAAAAAAGTTGACCTTGAAATAAGTTATGACATTTTGAACTCAAAAAATTCAAATCGGACGG